AAAATAAGAAAATATCTATAATTTAAATATTATTTTTTTATTATTAATAGTATATTAATAAATAGATACTGTTAGAATGCCCGGTATATAAATATATTTATATATAAAATATATTTTTTATTATAGATATATATCTGTGGCTTTTCTGTATTATTTTATATATTTTTTTAATAAATTTTTATATTATTATTAATCTATTTTTTAATTAATTATATTATTTCTAATATCTGCTAGTCTCTTATATTCTTTAATTTATTTATTTTATAATTATTTATAAGCTATCTGTAGAAGCTTTTTATAATATAATTATAATTTTATTTCTTATAGAAAAAACAGCTGCTATATTTCTAGTAATTAAAATAGATATTATTATTATTATAAGAATAAGATAAATATAATTATATAAAAAAAAGAATCTTTTATTAAATATAATATAATATAAGAATAAAGATAGCTAATATAACTTTTAAATTAAAGTTATATTTTAAATTCTAGTTTAATTATAATATTTTTAATTTTAATATCTATATTTTTAATCTGGAATATAAGAAGATTAATATTAATAACTTCTTTTTTTATATTTATTTTATTTTTAATAAGTATGAGTAGCTGTCTTCTAAGATTTTTAAAATAATTTATATTTATATTAATAAATATACTAACCTGCTGATTTTATTATATCTAGTCTTTATTTATTAATATATATATTTAGATATCTTATAAAGATTATTAATAAAAAAAATTTTTATTTTTATATTTATATATATCTCTTTTATATTATTTATATTAATAAAATATTATCTTATACCGGTGCTAATTATCTCTAGATTAGTATATATAATATTTTTAATAAATTTTAGAATATTATTACTTATATAAATATTAGCTAAATTATTCTATTTATTTATATTTATAATATTAATTATATTATTATTATTAAGATTCTCTGCTGCTTCATGTATAAGTTTTTTAATTATTAAAAAATTATTATCTCTAAGAACTAGAATTTTAATTTTATTTATTATAAGAATTATATCCAGCTCTATTAAAAGAATAAGTTTAAGTAGAATAATATTTACAGTCTAGTTCTTATATTTAAATAGACTTATTAGAAATTATAGAAGATATAATTAATATTTTTAAGAATTAAGAAATTATTTTCCCTGGTTTTTATTTATTATTAATTAAAGTTTAATTATTTTTTTATAATATATTCTGTAAAAGTCTTTTTCTAAATATTTTATATTTAATATTTTATTAATTAATAACAACTAGCTAAGTTATTATAAATATTTATTTATTTAAAAAAGAATCTTTAAAACTGCTTGAAATCTTTTATATTATTTAATTTATTATTTTCTTAATATTAGTAATATTTTTTTCTCTGGATTTCTTATTTTCTATAAAAACTATTAGTTTTTTATCTTAAATAATTTATTTATTTACTAAGAATCTAATAACTGACTTATCAAGTATAGATATAAAACTAGTATATATTATAATAATTAAATCTAGTAAAATCTTATTAAAATTATATTTTATAAAATAAATATTAAAAAAGTTCAGAATCTGGTATTTATAAATAAATATAATTTTAGTTTATTTTATATAAAGTATCTAGTTAATAGTCTGATTTATAATAACTTTTAAGATAACTAAAAAAAAAAATAGAGATTATAGTATATTATCTGAAAATTAAATCTGATTAAATTTATTAGATAATTTATTATTAATATTATATAACAGTTGGGATTACAGGTAAAATCTTTAATAATATAAATTTATTTATTAATAGTAAGTCTGATATATATAATTATATAATTAATATTTATCTTAATAAAGACTACTGAGATATATATTTATTTTTTTAGAAAATAAATCCAGATAATTATTTTTTTTTTTAAGAAATATCTAGTTTTATAGAATAGACAGTATTACCTGTATTTTAAATATATTTTTTAAGAATTATTTTAAATTATTAATATTAAGTTTTATTTTATTTACAGAGCTATCAGTTATTAATATTTTTATATAAATTATTTTCTTAATTTAATTATAAAAGTTTTTTATAGAAGACTTCTTTATTATAATTTTATTTTTTAGTTTAAATTAAATATAATTTATTTATTTATAGTATCAGACAGTACTGAGTGCCTTTATTATTTATATTAAATTTAAACTAGTTTTAATATTTATAAATTTTAATTAATTAAAATCTATTATTAGTTTATACAGCTTACTCATATACTAGTATATTTATTTATTATTTTTTTTATTTATAATAAAAATATTCTATTTATAGACAGCCTTATAGATTTTATATATTATAAATTTATTAAATATAAATATTAGTATTATAATCTTTTTAAAAACTAAAAATATATCTATTCTAATTTTTTAAATTAATCTGATTAATAGTATTAATTTTTATATTTTTCTAATTATTATCTGTGCCAGGATTCTTTGGAATTAATATAAAATAATATTAATATTATTCTTTTTATTTAGAATATACTTAGTTAGAAATTACTGGTTATAAAGAATTTTCTTATTATTATTATTAATTATAATATTTATTATCTAGTTTACCTGTGCAGTACTTATTATAATATTTATTTAAAAATTAGACTGGAGAAGAAACTTTTTATATTTTAAAAAATTTTTTATATTATTATAAAATAGTATAGCTATCAGCAGCAGTCTGAACTTTATATATAATTATATATAAATAAAAAATAATTTTAATAATAGATTCTGTAATATATGTGCTTTATTAAATATTATAATTTTAAAAAAACTATATAAGTTTCTGGAAAAGCTAGCTAGTATTCTTAGATTAATTATATTATATTTCTATTTCTTTATTATATATTATATTTTAATTATTTATAGGCCATGTCAGGCCTCCAGTATCTAATAAAATATAATTATAATTATTTTAATATTATTAATACTGTTTTTAAATATAGAATATTTTTATATTAATTTATTTTTAATAAAGTCTTTTTCTTGGCAGCAGCTATTACTATAATATAATATAATAATAAATAAATTAGTTATTAATATAATCTTATTTACTTATTAATTAATTAAATAGAGTAGAACTATAATCAGGATTAAATAATTTTTTAAAGATTTTATCTTATTTCTGATAGCTTTATTATATTTATATTTCTATTAATTAAAAATCTATATTTTATCAGCTGTAAAAATCTTTTATAATATTTTAATATAATATTTATATATAAGAGAAAACTAACAGCCTTCTAGATCTTTTCTATTTTAATAATATTAATAATTATTATTTTTATTATTAAATTAATATTTCTCTATATCTAACTATTTCTTATATACTATAATTCTCTTATAATTCTTGAATATAAATTATATCAGAAGATTATTAATATCTGTATTAATATTAAAAAACTATTAAAGATTCTTTACTATTTAGTAAATAATAGATTTAAAAATATTATTTTATAATATTTTTAATATATTAATGATTTTCTTTATTCTCTTTTATTTTAAAATATTATTAGATTATATCTCTATATCTAATATCTGATTAATATTAATATTATTAATTATATTAACTAGATATTTTATTTTTTTTAGTATATATAATTTTAACAGCTAGAATATAATCTTTATTTTTATATATATTTAAAATAGATTTTTAAGATTAAAAATATATGATTATTATTTTAGAATAAATTTTTTTCTATTTATTAGTAATTTATATTTTTAAATTATTTTTTTTTTCTTATTCTATTAATCAGTGGACAGGCTGGATAAACTAAAATTATCTAATTTTAATTTAGATTTTAACTTTATTTTAGTAGTACTTATAATAGTAATAATCTTAATTATAATATTACTAGTAATTTCTGCAGTAATAATAGTCTTTATAAATTTTATCTAGTAAATCTTAATAAATTCTTATTTTATAATATTTTAGATCTTTTTAGTTAATTATAAAAGATTTTTATAAATTATTCCTAGAATACTTACCTGGTAAGTATATTTTAAATAATATATTTTTTCTATTTAATTTATATATCTAGAAAAAACTATATATTTATATAAATATATTTTTTAATATTTATACTGCTGCATCTATCTTACTAATATATAGATTTTTCTAATAAAAAATATTATTTTTATAACTTAAATTCTCAGATCTCACAGAATATATAAAATATATAATATAGTTATTTATATTTTATATAATTTTATTAATATATTTTTAGCTATATTTAATTAATTTTTATATTTTATTTTAAATTATAAATTTCTATACACAGGCTAAGCTAGTTTTATATTTTTATATATTATTATTAATTTAGTTAAAATATTTTTACAGCTTTAATTAATATAATTTAATAAAATTAAATTATAGCTATTCTCTTTATTTCTTTTTATTATTAAGTTTAAAAAATTTAATTAAATCTTTTTTATTTTTTTTAGTAATTTTTTAAACTAAATTTTCTTTTATTAAAAATATTTTTAATTTTTATTTTATACCTGTGTTTATTTCTTTTAGATTAATATTTTATTTTTATATTATTTATAAAAGTCTTTCAGCTTATCTATATTTTAATTAATAATATTTTTAAATTTATTTTTTATTATACTAAATTAGCCTTCTGCAGAAATATCTAGGACTTTATATAAAAATTATAAAAATAAAAATAATATTTAAAAGAGAGAAGTTGTAAATAGAAGAAAATATAAAAAAAAAGTTATAAAAAAGAAAATTATAGAAAAGAGAATTATAAAAAAAGAAAAAAATATAAGATCTCTAATAAAGAAAAAGTAAAATAACAGTAAATAAACTATAGAAAATATATTTAATATAATAAATAATAAGTAAAGTAACTCTTATCAGATAAATTTAGAAAGAAAATTAATCAGCTTTCTACAGTAGTAAATAGCTATGAAATGAGCTTTAAATAGTTATGTATTTAGATATAATTTATATATATAGTATAAATACTAGTATAACTATTATGTATAACATAATAGAATGTTTACTATATACTTTAGTTAATAATTGTTAGTAACAGTTGTGCAACTGGCCACAACCCCCGGCAACTTACGCCAGCGGCCTACTATAGTAGTATGTATGTATGTAGTTGCAAATTGGGACAGGGTCATAAAGAGAGACATGTCATCATGAGAAACAAATTCCTTTTCAACACCATTTGTGAATAAGTTGCAATCATTTATGCAGCGCTTTCAAGGAGAGACTGGTATTTGGACGCCGGAGAAATATGCACATGCTAGCTTGTTTGCTTGCTCAAGGATCGTGAGGTATCATAAAACATTTTCGAAATGTGAGAATAAAATTTAACGCCGAATATGCACTTGAATGGTAGAGTATTGTTGTCACAGGCTGAGAGAGGCTACAATGCCATGGCCACCACGGCAGCTCCTCCCATCATGAGAGCGAACTCCCGCGCGAATCCATTGGCAGAGGCAGCAGAGTCGGTTTGCAGTCCCGGGGACGCATTGGTGCCGGTGGCCACCTCGCGGGCGGTCTCCGTGGGGTGCACGACTGTCACGGCTGTCACGGTGCTCTGCTGACCGTCGGGCAGAGTGGTGGTGATCTTGTAGGTGGAGGTGTACGGGGTGGTGGGCTGGCTGGTCGTGCTGGTCGTGCTAGTCGTATCCTGCGATGTGGAGCTCGTGGTGTGCATGGTGGTCGACCTTGCGGTGGATGAGGTCGAGCTGGAAGTGGAAGTGGACGAGGTCGACGAGGTGGTGGTGGCAGGCACGCTGGTGGTAGAAGATGCTGTCCGAGTGTGAGAGGAGGACGAAGAAGAAGATGTGGATGAAGAGGTAGAGGCAGAGGTAGTAGAAGAGGAGGTGGATGAAGAAGAAGAAGAAGAAGAGGACGCAGTAGACGAAGTCGATGAGGTCGAAGAGGTCGACGTCGACGACGAAGAAGAAGAAGAGGAGGTGGTGACAGGAGACGTGGACGAGGAGCTAGACTCACTGCTACTAGAGCTCGACTCACTGCTGCTAGAGCTGGATTCACTGCTGCTAGAGCTAGATGTAGTCTGCACGGCGGTTGTATGCGCGGTGGTGGCGGCGGCGGTGGTGGCAGCGGAGGTGGGTTCGGCCGAAGTCGAGTCAGCGCTGCTGGCAGAGGTCTCCGCTTGAGTGGTGGCCGCAGCAGTCGCCGAAGTCGTGGCAGGTTCCGTCGCCTGGCTGGTTTCTGCAGCACTCGTCGAATTGCTCACACCCTGTCGCTTGGCGAGGTTGGCCCGGCTGGACAGTGCAGCATCCTCCTCCACAGTCTGGGCGTTGTCATCTGCGGAATGAAAAACTCCGTGACGGAACTTTTCATACAGATGCAGGGCCTTGTCCTCGAAGCTACTGAGATAGCCGTGGGAAGTCGAGTCGACCACCGAGTTGGCGGCATCAGACTGATCGGCAGTCGGGGCCGCGATAGCAGCACAGGCGATCAACGACAGCAACAGAAAATGAAGCAAGCGAGTGAGGAACGCCATGGCGCTTGATCGATGTGATTGAGTTGGACGTTAAGATTCAGGGGAAGAAGAGGGTAATCCGACGATGGATAAAACGGAGTTGACTATAGTTCGATCCGACGCCGAATTGGGTAACGGAAGACTGAGTCGAGATGATGGCAGCGAAAGAGGAATAGGAAGATGAGCGATGGCGGGTTGGCAGATAATAAAGCTGGGCGCTAGCGAGAGGAAGGCTGTGAGGTGTCTCACCCAGAGTCTTCAGATGACACAGTGAATTGGGTTGAAGACAAGCCACACCGGAAGGATGAGGGAGTAAGAAGACAAGAATTGGTTGCCTGGCAGTGGATGGACTGATAAATACTAGTCAACGGGGACAAATGACTGGGCAGAAAAAACAAGGCAGGCCTGGTTCGGCTTGGCAGGTCCGAAGTGGAGCTTCGAGAAAATCCAGTCGGTCGAAATGGACAGGAATAGTATCGGAGACACGTTAGTTAACGATGCTACTAGTTTAGTCTTTCTCAAGTACGGAGTATTCCTAGCACACATTGTGGCACTGCACTGCCCATCCTACCACCACTCGGTACTAGTACGACTCGACTACTTTCCACTATACTAGGATACTCACTATTTGCAGGTACGGATAACCGGAGTTTGGATTGTCTTGGATGGATGGCCCTGAACCTTGGGGACCACTTCTTTGGCTCATCCCAGATGGGGAGGGCAGCAAGCGACGGAGGTCCCAACTAAGGTATTGTCAACGTCAGCATCAGAGTCCAGCCATTGCGCCAATTCCCTTCTAGAATAGCACTGGATGAATGCGGTACCCCAATTGTCTAGGCTTTTAGGGTCTGCAGTCGACACATACTTGATAGATAATAAATAGATAGATAACTGAGTATTATTAAAAAGTGAAGGGAGTGAGGGGTATCTTCCCTACCCGCGACCGGAAATGTCAATCCGCCGGTCAACCTGTCTGAAATGTTTCACATTTTTTTTACACCCCAAGAAAATTCTATAAAGTAAAAAGGAAAAACGGCGGGAACGTCCCGACTGAAAACCCCCGAATAAGGAAGGCAATCTGAATCAATGACGACACCATGAAATCAGTGACTTTCTTCTTTTACTTCCTACTTTACTCTTTTCTGGTGAGAAGAAATTGTGATAGGCGCAACTACTGTGAGTTTATAACGGGAGCACATGGAACTTACCGACGATCTATCTATAGCTTGATCAGAGTTGATTACTATGTATTTACTTAATTAGTAGTTACCCAGTACGACATGGTCTGTTCTTCCCTCCGTCACTGTGACTATTGGCAACCATTGTTTGAGTGGACTCTCCCTTTCGTCAGGGGAAGATAATTCAATTCTACGGTTCCTGGATCCCCTACTTCTCACGAAACAATAAGAAAAAAAAATAATTCCCCCCTTCTTCAACAGCCAGAATCATGATACATACTCAGTCTATCCCAATTACCGATCGCAGACACTTCCACCATCGGTATGTAAATCCCCTCCCGTCTACCCTGTCAAAACCATCGTTCCGGACTCCCGAGCAAAAAAACTAGCAAGAAACCTCTCCGCATCCGGTCAAGTATCGGCGAGGGGGGCTTAGCTCCGATTAGGTCCCACGCTAAACCACACAGAGCCTAGTGTCCACCGGATCGGGGATCTGCTAGGCTATTCTTGGCTCCGTAGCTGAAGTGGTGCCACTATCACGACATTTTATTGGCTCACAGCTTGGGAATGAGGCTTGCACTAGTCTGTCCCTGGATTAGTGCTCTTGATCCTGGTAGCTCATCTTGCTTCTTTCCTTCAGGCAGCGTTTAGGTAGATGAATGGGTAGGTGGCTTTGCCTCGTTGTTCCATGGGTGGCCTAATACAAATCTTATATTGAGGATGGATGAAAAGCCCTGATAGTGAATACGAGTGGGAGTCGCTCCAACGCAGTCAGCCATGGCTTATAACAATCCCGTATCTATACGACGTGGCATCAGCACTGTGTTAATTACATTTACGTTAGCTGGTATCTATTGGCTACTATATTTATCCACGCCTTGCAGCCGGCAGCAGAAGCAGCAGCAGCACAGCGGACAGCCAAATATACCTTCCCGTCGGGTTAGACTGTCTCACTTTTACAGCTGGATTAGCAAATCGTACTCTACATGAACCGTGTCACATGTGATAGTCTAGTCTAGATTTGCTGGATGGATAGTATGTCGCCGCTCTTACTGCACCACCTAGTATATTCCAATATTGACGGGACATATTATCTTGTACTTTCTACATCTTCTATACCTCAGCGTCTACTACGTTAAACTACCCTGCAATACGAAAAGCTTATTCCCCCAGTGCAAACCAGAAATGTATCCGGGGGTACCATCTCCCCGCATGAATCCACTCACACACCGCATCAGACAATGACAGCGGCCATGGGCGTTTCAGAATCGCCCCAAGGCTTGATGTGGACTCCACTTAGTTCTTTTTTCTGACAAGTCCGTTATCGTACGGGTGCATCGCAATTGCATATCCACTGTCCAGACGCTACCAAGCCGAGTCTCCTGTTCCTATTCCAGCCTATTCTATCAGTATTATCCTACTAACATACAGCCCGAACATGAATATATCTCACTGATGCCTTAAAATCCACGGCAAGGACAATGCCTGTCCTCAAACATAAGTAGCTTCTGTTCCCATTGACGCATTCCATGCGACCGTTCAGACAAGCGATTCCTCTCGCCTTGCAGTCATCGCCAATCGCAAAATGATAGCCATTGCATCTCGAACGACGATAATATACCCCATTACCGTCTATATAGATTTGACACACGTCGCATGCCATTTCCCCTTGATTGCCATCCAAGCGGAGGATAGATTCGGGAAGAGTAGCGTTCTTGTCGGACCAATCTGACAATATGACCAAAATGTCATGGAAATTCTTCGCCCTCCGACCTTCCATGACCGCGTTTCTTCCATAGTCATCCAGTGCATCTTGATCTATCCTCAGCGATTCGAGTAACGCTGCTATCATCCAGACCTCTCCACTTACCGTCGCGCTCATTAAAGGCGTGCGTCCACACCTGTCTCATGCGTTTGGATCGCAGCCTGCTTTCAAGAGAGCCTCTACCGATGCTGCTGAGCCACGGTTTGTAGCCTAAAACAACGGCACTCGGCCATGATGACTCCTGATGTTTGGGGTAAAAGCATACCGCAGTAATAGCTTTACCACGGCGTTTGTATCTCCAGTCCCGTTCGTAATCACTGCGCCATAGCTTCGTGTTACTCTTTCCTGGAGCCTCGTGGTGCAAGCTCTCAGCGCCCAAAGAAGTGGAGATTCACCGGACTGGTCAAGACATTCTATACTTGCGCCTTTGGCGAGAAGCATCTTCACGATGGGCTCAAATCCTCTCCCAGCAGCCCACATTATCGGTCTCGCCGTATTTATTTTCATGGTCAGGCTCTGCACTGTGAGATAGCAGAAGCTCAACCATGCGGTCGTCTCCAGTTCCTGCTGCAAAGAACAGCGGTGTATGGGTAGCAACCTTATCTGGCTGATTTCGAAATCTGAGGGGCCCCTTTGCATCATAAGGTATTGGCGCTAGAGCTCCACGCTCGGTGGTGTTAGGATTGGCACCTGCTTCAAGTAGGAGCTTGGCGACTTCGTAATGACCCATCTGCACGGCATCAAAGAGAGAGATTCGACCGTGTTCATCTTGGACATCGAAGGGAATCTTTTGTTCACGGAGAAATTGAACCTTTGCTTCTGAATCACAACGGAATCCCTTTTGAGCAGCTCGAGTAACAATGATCAACAGTTCACTCCCCATATATGGCAACCGTAACGTAGAAGGGCCTGGGTGGCTGCGCGTGATCGTCTTCCTGGAATTGACTTATTCCATTGACGTTTACACGATATGCAAGCATGTATACCCCGAGGCCCCGAACCATCCGTGAACATTTCCAAACCAGGTGTAATAAAGTTTATTTCCTTATTTTGCTACATGCCGCTTTGCCGGGCTCGGAGGTGAACACTCGGGACTCGGAGACCCTCGGGCGGCAAAAGTTCCGGGAGCATTGAATAAAAGTGGATGGAAAAGGACAAACGGGGATTGATTTATGAACGGTGTAATGTATGAAAAAGTGACTTAAAATTTCTTCTGGAGGCAAAAGGTTAGATAAAAAGGTATTTACACGTTCTCACAATGTCACACCTTCCTTCATCGCATCTTTCCTGCTCATACTTCAAAGAAGATATCTCCCAGAAAGCACCATGTCCACGACTACAAAGTGCACCACCGATCTATTTCAGGATGAGGTTGCCTCTCATCATCTAACCTTCAGTATAATTACACCAAATCCGAACCGTCGATCACCCTTCGAATATCCCAAAGAGGAACCATATGCAACGAAACGCCAGTGTACCACGAACTCCACCTCTCTTCCAAAAGTCAATTGTATCGTGCAAGCACGCATACCAACCAGTTTTGGCGCAGAGCTGCGGCTGCACGTTTACAAGAATAATGTTGACGACAAGTCACACCTGGCATATGTATTCGGAGACCACATTCAGAGCCGAAGCTTGAATCGAGCGAACAAAGACGAGACACAACTGGACCGAATGATTCGAGGAGCATATAAAGGACGATTATGGCCCGGGCAGACCACCACAGGTGATTCGCGGTTGAGCCATGAAGACACACCTTCTTCGAAGATGAATCCAACATTAGTTCGCGTTCATTCGGAATGCTATACCGGCGAGACTACCTGGTCGGCCAGATGTGACTGTGGAAATCAACTAGAGGCAGCAGCACGTATGATGGCCACATCAAAGAGTGGGGTGATTGTGTATCTCCGGCAGGAGGGTCGTAACATTGGGCTCGCAGATAAGCTCAGGGCATACAATCTTCAGGATATGGGCCTTGATACGGTCGACGCAAATCTTGCCCTTGGGCGTCCAGCAGATGCTCGGTCGTATGGGATAGCGACCGCCATTCTGATGGATCTTGGTCTGGGGAATGATTCAGGCAGTTCTGGCATCCGCTTGTTGACGAATAATCCGGATAAGCTCGGGGAAATTGAAGGTCCTCATGGGGAGCTCACAGTGAAAGAGAGGGTACCGATAATTCCATTGCCGGCAGATTCATCGAGAGGCTGGGAGTCCAACAGCATTGAGCTTCATAACTATTTACAAACCAAGGTACTACCTGATTTGATTCGCAAGTCTGAATTTCTTACTGATAATGATTAGGCAGACAGGATGGGGCATCTCCTGTGAAGAGATAAGAAGCGTCTGAACAATGAACCTGAAGAGTTCTCGTGTCGAATAGTTATATTGGAAAGGGAACCGGATGATGTCTTTAGGACTAGACTAGATTCTATGTAACAATACTTAATAGATCATAAGAATTACACACAGCAACTAACTTGAACACTTGCTAAAAGCTCAGATGCTTTGTAAGGATACGGCTTGCTTTCACCGGTGATTTATTTGTGTGTTCTGCTATATAGAAAACACACTAACCATAAGGAGAGAACTATTATTTCACCATCTCTGTTCAGATATCAGAGATCTAACATTCTGTGGAACAATGATAAGTCTATGGCTTACGGATAGCGCATGGTGAACACAAAAATGGAAAGTAATAATCAATTACTTTAAGCCCATTGACATTCCTACTGTGCATATCAAACATCCATCCAGAACAAATGATCTTTTGAACGTTCGATTTCCGATATGGATTTCCAAAAGCTATAAACCTTCCTTCGTTTATCGAGCAGTCTGCAAAGTATCCACTCTACTATCGACGACTATCATTTCCGTGTTCGACAGTCACGATCAATATGCTTGCGGCATTTTGTGGACAGGAAGCAGAGGTAAGGAAGCATCGAGAGGCGATTTGGGTCGAGATTCAAGATGACCTCGTGACCATAGAAACCGTTCCAGTGCGTCCTCCGATGATCCCACTCAATAGAGACTAATTCCTTCTCGAGAACTCCACTGAGGGAACATAGTACTGCTAGTGAAAGCATATAAAATACGATAGTTAACAGGAACATCGATGGCAAATGATGCGGCCCGAGCCTCCGAGCTCCCGAGATTCCGGGCGAAGCAACGAGCAAGAAGCTCAGCCCGATTGTCACCGAACTGAGTCTAGACAGTGACTTCATCGCATCACGATGGACATCTCAATGTCCCCAGAATGTGTATATAAAACAACCGCTCTTGTCCCTTCCTAGGGTGCTTCTGGATTCTATTTCTATCAAGCTTCATTCCACTGACAATCTCATATCTCAAGTTCTCCATACTCTCTTACTCCAGATTACTCCTACCATATTCTCAAGATGGTTTCCCAACACAGAGTTCACCACGGTATTCACCACGTCCACGAGACTCCTATCCAGGAGCTACCTCATATGAACTTCCGTTCGTACGTTGAAGCCCTCAAGCAAGACAACGACCTCGTGGAAATTGACCGGGAGATCGATCCGGACCTCGAATGCGGTGCCATCATCCGCAAGGTCTGCGAAACTGATGACAAGGCTCCCCTCTTCAATAACCTCAAGGGAGCTCACAATGGCCTCTGGCGTATTCTCGGTGCCCCCAACTCTCTTCGGTCGGGCAAAGACAAGTACGGCCGACTTGCTCGTCATCTGGCCCTCCCCCCATCTTCCGGCATGAAAGAGATCTTGGATAAGATGCTCTCGGCAAAGAATGCCCCACCAATTCCCCCCAACGTTGTCGAGACTGGAGTGTGCAAGGAGAATGTGCTGAATGAGGGAGAGTTCGATCTCACGAAGCTCCCGGTTCCTCTCCTCCACCAGGCTGATGGCGGGAAGTACATCCAGACCTATGGTATGCACGTTGTCTCCTCTCCAGAGAAGGATTGGACCAATTGGTCAATCGCCCGTGCTATGGTTTATGACAAGGACCACCTGGCTGGTTTGGTTATCCCACCCCAGCATGTCTGGCAGATGCAGCAGAAGTGGAAGGCTATTGGCAAGGACGTGCCCTGGGCTCTGTGCTTCGGTGTTCCCCCTGCTGCTATCATGGCCTCTAGCATGCCACTGCCTGACGGCTGTACTGAGGCTGGGTATATTGGCGCTATGACTGGCCACGCGATTGACGTGGTCAAGTGTGAGACGAATGACCTGTACGTTCCAGCTAATGCTGAGATCGTTCTTGAGGGCACTATGTCTATTACGGAGACTGGTCCTGAGGGTCCATTTGGCGAGATGCATGGGTATGATATACACAGCTTCCAATATACACCACTCAATCATACTAACTCTGCATGCCCCTTGATAGTTACGTCTTCCCCGGTGATTCTCACCCTTGCCCTCTTTACAAGGTGAACAAGATCACCTACCGCAACGGTGCTATTCTCCCCGTTTCGAACTGCGGCCGCCTTACCGACGAGACTGTGAGTCGAACTTATCTTAAGAATCCTCTCGATATCTCCATAAACTAACTCAGACTGTCTCCCCATATAGCATACCATGATCGGACCCCTCGCCGCTGCTGAAATCCACCAACTCTGCAAAGATGCCGGTCTTCCAGTCAAGGAAGCCATGTCCCCCTTCGAATCTCAAGTGACGTGGGTTGTTCTTCAAATCGACGGCGCCAAGCTCCGACAAATGAAGACCACCTCTGAGGAACTTTGTCGTAAGTTCGGTGACTTGATTTTCAACCACAAGGCCGGTTACACCATCCATCGCCTCCTCCTTGTGGGTGAGGACATCGATGTGTACAACTGGAAGGATGTGATCTGGGCGTTCTGCACCCGTTGCCGGCCCAGTCTTGATGAATACTTCTACGATGATGTCCGCGGATTCCCTCTGATTCCGTATATGGGCCACGGAAACGGTTCTCCTGTCCAGGGTGGCAAGGTTGTCTCTGACGCTTTGATGCCTACTGAGTACACAACTGGACCTAATTGGCAGGCTGCTGACTTCAAGAACTCATACCCCGAGGACCTTCAGGCTAAGGTCAATGCTGAGTGGGCCTCGATGGGCTTCAAGGCTGATCATTAGAAAGATGACATTGGATTTGTGCATGACGCACATGTGTTTGGAAGGTCCAAGACCAGTCGAAGCATCTTTGTCTGGAATCTCAATTCTTGTACTCTATACTTATCGCTTCACTGTATACTCTATTCAAAGTCTTATGCATTGTTTCCTTGTCTGCAGTTGTTCTATAGTCAATTTCTAATTCAGAATGTTTTGATTCGACTACCATTATAGTCTATGACCATCTACTACAGACCCCACGCACATATGCCAGTTCTTCAAAATAATAAATTACCAGCTTCTGATGTACATAATCAATAACACTCAATTATAACTATACACCTATAGAACCTATATAATACAAAAAGCTATAAAACCATATGCACCACACAACTACAATCCTACCCCCCACCCTCATCCCACAACCGATGCTCCAACCTCAACTCCCCGGGATCATTCTCCTCAAACCCAAAATTCCAAATCCGTTCAGCCATCGTCAATCGCTCCCTATGCTTCCCCAGTGCATTCGTCTTCGAGCTCCTACTCCCAACATGCTGCAATACACTAGGCGTCAACGCCCAGCGAACCTCCCCGTTCTGGTCGGCGTAGCTCTCCGTGAGCATATCCACATACCCGACTTTATTCCTCTCGTACCAAGATACCAGGTCTCCGATGCGGGCCTGTGGAAAGACGAATCCCTGAGAGCAGCAGCCGAATTTGGGCATCGTGTGCACGCCCTCGGGGATTGGGAGCATTGTGTGCCGTCCGGCGGCGAAGAAGAGGGTGATTAGGAGGGGGGTGACCACTAAAGAGAGGAGGGTTATGGTCTCGTTCGAGAGGTGTCTGGCTGTATAAGGGCAACAGTATCGGGTTGCTGTTGTTGTGGCCACGATCACAGACACGGCGAGGAGAGAAAAGAAGAGGTAGATGGGCCATTCTTCTGAGTTCCATCCGAGGAATATCTCCGTGTAGAAGAGTCGGAGATATAGCCCTGTGACGATATCTCTATTAGCTTATCCCCCACGATGATCTGCCGCCGAAGGGTATAATCATATCTTACACTGCTGATCTCCCCCCTCCTCCGCCTTCCGCTCCGCGACATCCAAAGCCTGCTTGGTCCGATGAAACCACCCATCCAAAGCAACGACATCATCCTCCAGCATGACTGTATACGACGTATTTTGCTTACCGCACTCTTTAAGAAGATACGTATAATCAAACAGACCCTTCTCACGAGCGAACTTCTTCGCTTCTGGCGTCTCCAAACTGCGAATACGTTCTATATCCACCACATCCGGATCATAGACAAGCACCTTGTCAGCGAGAGCACGGAGCCACGGCTCCATATACCCCGGATGCTCCGCAGGATCAGAATGCGCGATGAAGATGATAAGGTACATGTCTTCTCTCTCTGTCGCGGTAAGGCCCTCCAGGATGGAGCCGACTGCGCCCTGGAGGTAGCGTGCACCCTTTCGTGCTACCGAGGCAATTCCGACGCACATATTGGGATGGGCAGATGCTTTGGTCTGGAAATGCTGGGGGAGGGTGTTGCTGTTGGCTTGTTGGATGAGTTCGTTGGCTTGTTCTGCGCGGAGGGTGGAGTAGGCCGGCTTGTATGCTTGGTCTTCGGCGAAGAAGGCGGATGTCGGGTCACGCCAGCATGTTAGACGGGCTAGGTTGATTGCTAGGCCGTAGAGGAAGATAAATATGAGTAGTAGGTGACATATGTGTGTGTTCAGAAAGATGAGGGAACATGGTCGTAAGAGTCGCCTTGGGAGAAGCATTTGGGGCTTGTTGGATATACTGTCGTGGGTATCGTGGGTTGGGAAACATTTGACAGGTTGCGGAAGATATTGGGTTGCTTGAGTTAAGTAGTAATGATATTTGGGAGACCAAATGTACTCGCTTGGATGATTTGAAGTACCTAATAACGGTTTAATTTGCCTATAATCTCTCTAAAAGCCTCCCCCGGACTACGCTAGTAGGGCCTTGTAGGGATGAATGGTCCCCTTAGCGTGAGACCCCTTGAAGCGATGTAACATTAATATAATAGTTGGACCCTGAGATGCATGTTTGTGAATCAGCATTGTCTCTCGGTGTCCTAATGCGCATAAAATCTCCCAGGTACTTTACCGAAACGCTACGATATCCCCGTAGGGAGATAGAACGAGTCATAAGGACTCTGTAGGGTCT